TGGCACTGTCACCCCCAGGACAGCAGAGGGACAGAGCCACCACATCCCCCCCGCCCCAGAGTGGCGTTTGGGTGGCAGGGGCTGCTGCGTTCCTATTCCACTCACGCAGCCTGTAATTTTGGTCTATTGAAGTCATAATTCACTCCTGTGAAAATAAACATTTGTGTTAGCTCGCTTTATTCGGCGGGGTTCGGCTGAATGTTAAATTCCCCGCCGGCGGCTCTGCACGTGGCCCGGGGTGCTGGGACAAAGCCGGGCCACCCGTGGCCATGGCCGTGGCCACCTCCTCGCAGGCTTTGGGCGAGTCCTCACCATCCTTTGTGCCCTGTCCCTGGGATCCCCTGGATCCCGAAGGAAACGGGAAAGGAGAGCCGCTTTGTACTAATCCGGGGATAATGAGGAAGATAAAGGTAATTTTTAGACAATATTTGGAGTCCAGCACCTACTCAGACCCTTCCCTACGCATCCTGTCACTGGGTTTGTGCCCTTGTGCTGTTTTGTGGATGCTCCCACCACACCAGCGACGCCCCATCACCCACCCCGTGCCATCGCCGGGCAGGAGGGCGCCTGGGCCCCCCACCCCGGCTGTCCCCAGGGCTGTCCCCAGGTCTCTCCTGCAGCGAGCGAGGGGCTGGTGCTTCCCTCGGCATTTGCATCTTCCCAGCCTTTATCTTCCTGCCGGTCTCTGTATTGCTGCAATTACAGACACTTTAAAACACAATGATCTGGCTGTTAGCGTGATGGATGACAGAACCTTTCTGTCTGGTTTAAATCATTGCTGAGAGTGAGCAAACTTCCCCCGGTTAACCCTTTCCTGCCCCAAAGCCTCTCCCAGCCCGGAGCTGCTGTGAGCTCCATGGCCACCCATCCACCACACTCCTGTGTCCCATGGGTGGGATAAAAGGGGGTCTGGCATTCCTACTGGAAACATTCCCACATCCCTCATCTCCCTGGGGTCTGTGCTGCTGGGGCTCCCCGGGTGCCTGGGGACAGGCGATGGGAGCAGCCCCGCCCGGCAGGGCCGGTGGCCCCGCTGCGCTGGGAAATGAACGGCTGGAGCGGAGATAAGCGCCTGCCGGAGCCCGATAGCCGGCGGGATCCATCCCAGCCCCGGGCTGGCAATCCTTCCCCCGGCAAATCTGGAACCGGGGCAGGATGGGGCCCCAGAGCGTTCCCACCCATGGGAGGAGGTGGAAACTCCTCTCCTGACTCGGTGCTGGTCACGCTGGCGCTGATTGATGGCGTGGGGAGCCCGGGGAGGATGAGCCACACACATTGTGGTGATCCATGCTCCCTTTGCTGTGGGGAGGTGGCATCTCCCCCTGCCGAGCATCCTGCCCAGTGCCCATCCATGCCTGCCCACTCCTCAGGTGTCCCAGCGCCTCGGGAGGGTGTCACCATCACCCATCAGCTGTGCTGGGTCGTGTCCTCCACCCCTGCTGGGCGTCCACATGGAGAGGCTGCATGGAGTGGTCTGGAGGGTGCCAAGGACCTGTCCCAGGGCAAGGGACACCCCGAGGCACAGCCTGGGGGGGAAGGGGAGCTCTGAGGCCTTGGCGTGGTGTGTGCCAGGAGATAAAGTGCTCGCTGAGGGCAGATGAAGGCAACTGGTACCAAAACCTCCCAGGAAATGGTCACCACCACGTGCCATCCCTATCTGCCCCTGCACATGACCCCTGCCCGCTATCGGGGCCGCACACGAGGGCAGGGGCAGCGCGGTGGGTGCTGGGCTCACGGTGCCACCAGGGCACCCTGAGATGCCCCCTCTTGCCTGTGCAGCCACCACGGTGATGGGGACGCTTTTCACACCTTGTGGGTGCCCAGCCATGGGTGCTGACCAGTGCTGTCCCCGTGCACTCCCCTTCTCCCGGCTCTCCCCGAGCTCCGGCTCAGCCCTGGCACTTCCTAGTGCCGGGACGAGCTGATTGCTATTCCGGCTGCATCCCCCCGTCACAAGCCTCAGGCCTTTTAAAACAGCCCACGGTGCTGGTTAACCACTCCTTGCCCCTCGCCAGGCTGGTGGCCCAGCCCTGTCCCTCCCGTGCCGTGCCGGGGGCTGCCCCCGCCCGCTCCCACGGGGCTGACGGTGTCTGCAGGCACCGAGGGCACCGAGCCGTGCCCTGCTCAGCCCTGCCGTGCCGCAGCCTTCCTGTGTCACCCCCAGGGTCTGTCTGTCCGCCTGGGTTTCTCAGTCTCTCTCCGTTCCCTCTCGGGGAGCAGAGCATCCCTGGGTACCCCTCTGAGTCCCCCCACGATGTGGCACTGCCAGCGGTGCCCTACAAGCAGAACTCGGTGACAGCGTGTGACCGAGTGCCCACAAGCTGCAGTGCTGCAAAGCCCTGCACGGCTGTGGGGTCTGCAACCCCCATTTGCTTGGGGCAGCCCTGCAGGGACAGGGAGCTGCTGGCCTGGGAAGGCTCGGTGTGACCGTGGATGGTCCCATCGCCCTGGCTGTGGTGGCTCAAATCTCAGTGCCCAAATCTCAGTGCCCAAATCTCAGTGCCCAAATCCATCCCTGTGCCAGCACCAAACACCCGGAGCCAGGCTGCAGCCCCCGGCGCTCTTCCCTTGGCATTTGGCTTGCAGCAGGAGCGCTGGCGCTGGATTTTCCTGCACGTTAATCCATCGGGGAATGCAGCAGGGAGATAAGGGGCTGGGGGGGAGCCAGCGGCCGGGGAAGACGCTCTCCTGCCCGCCGGCTATCGCCCGCCGCAGCTGCATCCGCCCGGGGACATCTGCTCGGCAGGAAGTGCCGTGCGCCAGCCTTTCCCAGGAAAGGGGCTTCGTTTGTGCCTGGCTTCCCTCCGTGACCACTCCTGGGGGTCCCCAGGCTTGGGCTCACCCAGCCTGCAGCCACCGGGCTGGAAGGAGCAGCCCCACCGGCTGCTGAAGCTGATCCAGTGGCTTTGTGGCTTTCCCACAACTTCCACATAGAAAAGGAAAAAAGTGCATCTTCCATGAAAAGAAAAAAAAAATTAAAATCCTATTTTCCTTGCTAACAGATTCGTTCCTGCTTCGTGGCATGCAAAGGGAAACCACCCCCTACTGCTTATCATCCCCCTCACCCTGCGCTGCTGGCTCCGGAAAATCACCAGCTTGCCTTAAAAAATGGGAGACTTTAGGATACAGCACCACTCCTCTGGGTGCTTCCAGGTTTTGGGGCTGCCAGGGGCCAAGTTTCCAGCTTTTCTTTGCCATGGAGAGCCTGGGAAGTGTTTTAATTGCAAAGCAAAGGTGGCCACGTGCTGTCCTGACTCCAGGAGCTGGTGTTTTGGGGTGCATGGAGACGCTGCTGGCACCTCCATGGGAGGAGCACCCAGTGGCAAATCCTGCCAGCCTCATCCTTGGCCAGCAGGAATTCACTGGGAGATATTGAACAAAATCCCCTGAGCTGCCCTTGGGTTCACAACAGATTCACAGTCCCTTTCTCCCACCCTAACCTTGGGGACCAGCTCCTTCCTGGCCCTCCCCATCCCACAGGCTGCACTGCCTGCATCGTTCCCAATAACGACGGGAATTTAATTAGCAGGCATTGCATTTCCAGCACCTCGCATCCCTGCAAAAATCAATGGGAGCTAGCAGGAGGCGGTGTGAGCCTGCCTTCACTCCGGCACACAGCTCGGATGGACATCCAAGCCCTGGGGCTGCTTTCAGAACATTCCCAGGGCCAGCCTGGGGCTCTGGCTGTGTGGAGGCCAGTGCTGATCTGTGCTGTGCCAGGCCATGCCACGGGGAGCCACGGGTGAGCTCTGCATTTGTTACGAGATGCAGATGCGCCGCGGCACAGAGGACGTTGCGGCTGTCTCTGGCCACCTGCATCGTTTCCAAGTTCCCAGGCTAAAAGCAGGGCTTGTTATCAAGAGCAAAAAATGTGCCACCTCTGTTGTATTTCATTTCCCTTTCTCCACCTCTTCCCTGCTCGCTGTGCATCAGAGATAACAGCTCTCGGTGCCGAAGCTGGAGAGCGGGGCCGGCAACGGCCTCGCCAGCCCTATCGCTGCCTCGCCGGCCGCAAGGAAATCAGGAAGTTTGCAGAGATATTTGGCCAACAAAATAAACATTTCTCCTGCCAAAAGCCTAACGGGCAGCCCGGCGAGCCCGCAGCAATCTGCACGGCTCCCTGGCTGCAGCCTTCCGGAGCGCGGTGCCCGCCGAGCCCTCGCCTCATCCCGGCGCCTTATCGGAGCGTGGCCCTGCCTGCCATGTGTCAGCTCCGGGCACAGGGACCCCAGCACGGCTCCCCCGCCCTTGGTGGACCGGCACAGCAGGTGCAGCACCCAGGGTGCACCCAAACCCTGCCCTTGTGCTGTCCCAGCTGTGCCCCTGAGCCACGGGCAGGTGCCAGGGGTGGGCAGGGGGCTGCGGTGCCGGGGCAGCGGGGTGGGGAGTGAGGGGAAACGAGGCACGGGGCCAGCATTGTTCACACCACCGGTGACTCAGCCAGCTCTGCTTTCCTGCCCGTGCTGGGCACAGGCCCAGCAGAGCCCCCGAGCCCCCCAGAGCTGCCGCAGCCCCTTGGCCTCGGTTCCTGGGGATGCTGCAACACAGGGATGTGGGATGCTCCATCCCCATGGAGCCTCTGCACTGCAAACCATCAGCAGCAGGACCTGGAGGGCCCGTGGGGTGGGATGTGAGCTGCTGATCCCAGAATGAGCCCAGACACCCAGCAAACACAGCGTTGAAATGCTGGAAATAAAACATCCTCGGGGCTGGTTACTTGTTATGGAAAGGTTTAATCACAGAGCAGGCTCCGAATGGGTCCCCGTGACAGCGAGCCCATGGAGCCCCATGGTGCCTTTGCCATGGGCTTGGCCACGTCCCAGCTCCCCAGTCCCACTGGCTGGTCCCCAAGAAGATGCACCGCCTGGTGCCAGCCACGTGCCACCCTCGGGGAGCACCTGCCAGCCCAAAGCTGCATTTGGCACTGGGGTAAGTCACCCGTGCCACGGCACATGGCACTGCCACGGCCACCGCCACCTTGCCCTGCCGCCGCCTCTCACCTCGGCTGGTCCCGCGCGGTGCCCTGGCCCACGAGGGGTCCGTGTCTGCTCCGAGAAGTCCCGAGGTGACGGTGGCAGCACCCCAAGCCCGCGAGCCCCGCCGAGGCCAGTGCCACCAGCCCTGTCCCGCGGGCGGGCAGGAGCTGTGCTGGGGCTGGGGATGCCGAGCTCCGCAGGGGCGCGGGGTGTCCTGCCCGCTCGGCGCCTGCCCGGCCGCCGGGGCCGCTCATGTGACGGCCGGGGCCGCGGTGGCAGCGGAGCCGTGTCCCATGGCGAGGGGAAGGTGAACAGCTGCCGGGCAGTGATAATGCGGCGGGTGGGGGTGGCCGGGCAGCTGCGCCCGTGTCCTTCCCCAACAGGAACCATCTGTGACCAAGCCCAGCTCTGCCTTCCCTATCAGCCATTCCGGTCTGACTTTCCAACAACTTCCCCTTCGCGCCGGCCTCACTTCCTCACTGCGAGGGGCTGGATCAGCGTGGCACGGCAGGACTGGCACGGCAGGACGGGCATGGCAGGACTGGCACAGCAGGACCAGCATGGCAGGACCGGCATGGCACAGCACAGCATGGCACGGCTGTCCTGATGCACCTTGGCACAGACAGCCCCGTGCACAGGGGCACGGCACAACCAGCACGGCACGGCATGGCACGGTTGTCTATTTGCAGCCTGGCACAAACTCGGGACTCACCTCCCCTTGCTGCAGCCCCTTTGCCTGGGGTCATCCGTGGGATAAGGTTTTTCCACGGATGCTGCTCCTGCTGCTGCCCTGATCTGCAGCTGCAGCATCGCCCCGACCTTCTCAGCACTTGGGGTGACCCCCCTGTGCAGCCCAGCCCTGCACCCCCAGCCAGGCCCCTCAGCGCCGGCGTCTGGGCTCCCCAAGAGCTGTCAGCCAGAGAGAAACAACTTGTTAGAAACCCGAAAGGCGGCTCTGGGCTGCAGGTGGGAGGGAGGAAACGTGTCCTAAAAATACAGCAGCGCCTGCACGGTCCCCGAAGGTGGCTGAGCAGATGGCGTGTCTCGGCGGCCACCTGGGCTCCTGCAGATGGTACCCGGGGCTCCCCGCTTTGTGCCCCCCGCCCAGGGCTCGGGGGGGCCGGGAAGGGACGGGTGGAAGTGGGGAGGAAGGTGTGGGGGTGCTGTGCTGGGCTGTGCTGTGCTGTGGGGGCAAAGCAGGGTGTCACCACAGGGTCTCTGCCCTCTGGGTGCAGCCCCGAGCCCCAGGGGACATCGAGCACAGTCTGAATGCTGCAGGGACATGAGGGGAAGCCCCAGCACGGGGCTGATGTGCTGCGGAAAGGGCCACGAGCTACAGAGCACAGCCTGACCCTTCCAGAACTGTGTGTTTGGGGGGAGATGTCACAGCTGTCCCCAGCACAGCTCCAAGCCAGCCCCACATCCTGCATCCCAGCAATGCTGGGACACCCCAGCTCCATTCTACCCACCCCGGAGGAGCCCGTGCCCCACCAGCACAGGCACAGCAGCCTGAGTGTGGGCTGAAGGCTGCCAGAGGTTTTGGCAGGGTTTCCAGCTGTGTTTCAGGCTCTGGCTTCTTCCCCTTTTCTTTCTGGCTGGCCCAGGTGGGCGCTGTGTCATCGCTCGGGGTTTTGCCAAGCTGCCCCTCAGCCAGGGCCAGGCTCACCATGGGACACGGAGAGTGGCAGCTTCTGGGGAGTGTCCCAGGGCAGCGAGTCAAAACAAGAGGGTTTCAGGGCCGGCCAGGAAAATCCCTCCCAGCTGCGGCCCCGTGTCCCCGTGTCACCCGCGCGGGAAGGTTTTCTCCGCCAGGAAACACACAGCACCTGCCCGGGCAGCTGCAGGCACCGGGCTGCCAGGGAATGCCCCAGCAGGGGAGACTCCCGAGCTCTGCCCCAGCGTGCAGGGGACCCCCGGGGTCCCGGGGTCTGGCTCGGTGGAGGGGGAGCCCCTGGGATCCAGAGTTCTGACTCACCGAGGGAGGGGAAGCCCCGGGGTCCCGGGGTTTGGCTCGGTCAGGGGAAACATCTGAGCCCTCCCGACACGGAGAGGAACCGCCGGGGGTGGAGGGCCCGCCCTGGCAGGGGGATCCCCGGGGTTTGGGGTCTGCCCCGTCACAGGTGACCCCTCCCGCCCACGCTCCCGGCGCTCCCGGCCGGTTTCTCTCTGAGTCAGAGCGGCTCTTGCTGCCGGGCAGGAACTTCCCCCCTGCTCAAGGAGAAGCAGGACGGGCTCCCACCGCCCCCACAGGCACTGCGAGCTGGGGGAAGGAGGGGAGGAAGCCCCCGGGGGGCGGCCGAGGTGCTGCCACCTTCACACGTAGCGGGGCTGTGCCAGCCGTGTGCTCTGCGGGACGCACCATGGCATGGCACAGGATGGCACAGGATGGCACAGGATGGCATGGCACCCTTCCCCACTGCTGGAAGTGCCCCGTGCTCATGTGCCCCACTGCCTGCAGTGCCCCACCGCCTTCCCCTCTCCATTTGAATGCGACGGGTGGGGGAACAAGGGGGAAAGGAAGCGGCAGCAGCAACTGGTGAGCAGAACATCAGCGGCGGCTGCCGGAGCCAAACCGAGAGCATCACCTCCCAAAAGGGGCTGGGACGGGGGCACGGCCCACCTGGGCTTGGGATGGGGCTTAAATCTGCCGCCTCCAGCCCAGGAAAATGGGAATGCGGGAGCAAAGGCAGCAGCTGGGAATGGGAAGGAGAGAGATGGCCAAGCCGGGGAGATGGGAGCTGCCGAGAGTTCACAGGGAACACAAAGACAAATTCTTTAAGGAAAAAAAAAAAGGGGGAAAAAAAAAAAAGAGAAATCAAAGGGATGTGGAGAGGGAGATAAGAGGGAAGACAGAGCAGGGAGACGGAGGGAGCGGAGAGGACGCGGGCAGAGGGAGGCAGGCGGCGCGGGGAGGCGAAGCGGGAGCCGGGGGAGCTGTCTGGCGCGTCCCTATCGCCTCTCTCCATCGCGGGAGCCCAACCTCAAGTAGTTTTTCACTGAGATTGGAGTGATCAGGTAGGGCTGCCCTCGGCGGCAGCTGCGGGGCTGTGAATAAGCACCTGCTTATCTCTGCCCAGCGGCTGTGCGCGGCTGCAGATTGCGGGGGGACGGGAGCTGGCTGCCGGCTGCGATTTCCATATCAGCGCCCTGCAGCCGCCTGCGCCAAATAAACACAACAGCCCCACGGACAAAAGGTTAATTATCAATTTTCAGAAAGGGAGAGAGAGGGGAGGGGGAGAGGGGAGAGCAGCGGCCGCCGGCAGCGGCGGGGACGAGCAGCGGGCCCTGACGGGGGCTGGGCTCTGCGGCCCGGGCACAGCGCCCCGAGCAGCGCCGGGGTCTGCGGAACCGCGGGATGCGGGGAGGGGATGGGATGGGCTGGGGGATCCATGGGATCCATGGATGGGATGGGATCCATGGGATCCATGGATGGGATGGGACAGAGATGAGAATGAGGACAGATATCGGGATGTGGGCAGTGACAGGGACAGAGATGGGGATGGGGACAGGGATAGGGATGGAGGCAGGGATGGGGACAGACACTGAGATGAGGAAGGGGACAGGGATGGGGCTGTACACACAGGAGTAGTGGGACTCGGGGGAAGACATGGGGGAAAGAAAAAGGACCCCTCCCAATACTCTGCTTCAGCCCTGGCTAGGAAGAGGCCAGACTGGAAGAAGGTACATCCTCCTCCTCCTCCTCCTCTCCTGGGCCTGCAAGGCCCTGCTGGCTCCACTTCCCACGGCCACATTTCTGTATTCAACAGCTTTCCCCTCTTATCAAAGTGACCACGAGCTCCCAGCTCGGCTGGGCCACGGGGCTTAGGGAGACACAGGGAGAAAGAGGTGCCCTGATGGCCCCAGCCCCGGGGAGGAAGGGCTGGGTGGTGGCATCACCCTGCTTGCAGCTTAGACCCCGTGAAGCCATCAGGGATCCCCACAGACTGTTGATCATCGTGCTTGGGGTCAGGGCTTGTCCCTCTCTCCTGACACTCAGGAGTTGTTAATGTGCCAGGGGGTGCTGGTGTTTCCCTGGTGTCACCCGCCCTGTCCCCCACGTTCACTCAGAGCTGCAGAACTGCTCTCCTGTTGCAGCCATCCCTGCTCTGGACTGGTTTTCCCATCCTGCACGTCCCCCTCCCAGCACACCCTGGCCAGGAGCACTGCCCTGAGCGTGCCCGTGATGCTCCCAGCTCCCACGAGGACACAGAACCCAAAAGAGCCTCACAGGGCAGCAGCCACGTGGCCGGGAAGCCTCGGGCACCAGATTTAGCCACAGACATGCTCCTAAAAATAGCCAGGAGCTGGGAGGCTGCAGAGCTGCATCTGCTGCCACAGGGAGCAGCCCAGAGCTCCAGCCCTCATCCCCCGGGGCTGGGGTGGATGGAGCTGGGCTGCACAGGGCTGGCCCCAGCACAATTTGGCTTGAGGAGAGTTCAGAGCCACCAGCCTGGAAGGATCCAGCCACCCCTGTGCCAGCCTGGTGCCAGGGACAGGAGGGCACCAGGATGGAGATGAGATGCTCTTGGTGCTGGGATGGTGCTAATCCACTGGGGAATCAGACGTGCAGCTGTGGATGAGAATAATGAGAGTTGATAATATTTAATATAACCTTTCAGGCAGGCAGGGCTCTGCAGCTCCCACTGATGGGTGTCCCTGGGGGGTTTTGGGGGGAAGATGGGGGCAGAGCCAGGACTCAGAAAGCTGTGCTGCCTGGCTGGGAGCTCCAGTGTGGCCCCAACCTGCCCCTGATCCCAAGAGGGGCCTGACCTGCAGCTGATAAAACACACTAAAAATACCAGGATAAATATGAGGGAATGCAGGCGGGGTGTGAGCATCCCGGGCTGGAGCAGCCAGCCCCCCCTCCCGCCTTGCCCAACCCCCCCAAATAACCCCAGCCCAAAATACTCACCCCGGGCCCATCTGGTGTCCAACTGATGAGCACAGATGTGTTTGGGATTTCCGAGCCGGCTGGCAGCCGTTCAGACCTGTCGCAAGCTGCACCTGCTGCAGGATATTTTCCCTTCTGGATTTAATCCCCACCCCCCCAGCAGCCCCAGGCACCCCCCAGGGCTGGGTGGGCAGAAGGAGACCCCCCCCCAAGTGATGACCCTCCTGACCCGTGCCCATCCCTGCCATAAATATGGATGTGGGAGCAGGAGAAGGGGGAATTAAAC